ATGTGTGACAGACCTGTTCTCCCTGAAGGATAGCAAATTGCATGATGTCAGATGTCAAGCCTGCTTCCCAAACAGTGTTTAGATACTCTCCGGAGTGTTTATGTTGGGGTGGGGTGGGGCATGAATCCATTTCTCCTTGCAGTAGGTTAAGCAGCCATTATCCCCGAGGTAAGCTACTTGAACTCATATGTCAAGAAGAGGCTTAATGTATTTTAGTGGAGAAAGAGGTCTTTCCCAGTAGGATTTCGATGGGCTGCTTTTACCATGCCGCCAGGCTCCAGGAGTTCATGGGTGAGCTATTTGTCTTTTTCCGTAATGCCAATTCTGCCCACCCCATACCCCCACTGTCTGATTTTTCTCAGTGGCAATCTGAAAGTTGCAAAAGCAATAAATCCTTTGGTGTGAACGGGTTACCATTTCACTGAGTACAGAGACAAGCTTCCTCTCTGTCACAGCAGTTATAACTTATTCCTGTCGAGGTTGTTATAAGTCAATAGTGCCACCCTACACTAGACAATAGTCCATCTTGGCTACCATTTCAGCAATGTCATCTGACTCTTGCCTAATTCCTGTCACAACGGGGGAGGGGAGAAGAGATCCATCCAGCTAACGCTTTCAAAATAATATTTGTAGATTCTTTATTTCCCTCTGTGATACCATAACACTGAATCATGAAAGTCGGGCTTTGGGTTTTACTTGGCATCTCTGTCTACTTTGGGGCAGGGAAGAGATTTTTTCTGGGCCTCCGACAGCTGTGGAGAAAGACCCTAGAATATTACATCATTTATCAGCAGTGTTTCCAGAAAAAAAAAGGAAACATTCCATGAAAAGATAATTTACTTGTCTTAATAATGTAAGCAGAAATTAAAGCAGAGCAGTCCCTTCTGGCAGAATTTTTGACAGTGACCTTCATTTTCATCATTCCTGACTGCTCAGATCTACTTTGAAAATGAATACAGTTTCCACTTCAAAAGGGGAGGAGGGAAATCCAGGAAAGGAGTGGGAGAGAGACCCTGTTCATTGACTGATATTTTCTGGGAAGTTTTACCTGCTCTGAAGTCCAAGTTGAAAGGGTTCCTTTGAGAGCACTAGGGAAACGTGTGAAGCACATTTTTGTAGAATCACACTTCAAGATTTTGGACTAGCTTAACTGTATTGTATTTTTTCAGAGGAATATATATTTGGGAAAAGAGAAGAAAAAAGGTGGGCCCCAAACAGCACCATTTATATTTATGATTTTTTTTTTAGACAAAATATAAAATGCTTTAGAAAGCAAGCAGGAAAGAAGCAATCACTTTTCTTTGGAGTGGCTAGCTTATAGGAGAATGAATAATACTCACACGTGGACACCACCACGGCTACCAGTTCCTTCTTGGGTTAGCTGGGGTATAAACACACCGTAAGAGATGGCTGCTTAACAAAGGGTGGGAGAAATGAAATGTGATTAGCCCCGTTTTGGAGAACTGAGGAACAGGGAGATTAATCTGGGGAAGAGAAGAGGGGTGAGCACTTGAGCTCTGTGTTTTTGAAAATTTGTCCTCGAGTCATTTTCCCAAGGTCACAACAGAAGCAAGAGGCAGGGCTCTCACTCCCCATCCAGATACAACCACTACCTTCCTCCCGCAGAAGGAGAAAGTGGCAGATGTCCGTGTTCGGGAGGAGACGTAAAATAATTATTGTTATTCTGAAAATGTACGTAGCCCAGGGCGGGGAGCAAATTCTCCTCTCAGTTAGGCCAGTTCTCCCGTTGCATTCTGGAGACTCACTCCTGCCAGCTGGCTGCCTGTTTAGCTATCTGTATGTGAATTTAGGCAGCTGCGTTTGAAGGTTTTGTCCTCCACACAAGGCAAATCCTGTCTCACTGTCACCAGGCTGCGCACTGGGGAGGTCTGCATTCGCTGGGGGAAAATAAGTCCTGCCTCCATACCCTCAGGAGAGAATCTGTGTGGGTATTGTACCCTGTTTGTGAGGAGAATGGGTCATGGGGCAGTGTTGTCATGGAACCACTAGCCCTGCCCACCAAATCCCTCCTGCGTGGAGGCACAGGAGGAGTCCTCAAAGGGCACAAGTTCCTGGCGTGCCAATATCCCTCAACAGGCATGCTGACCACCAGCCCTTACCTGGTCCCATTGCAGCCATGGACAGCCAGGTAGGCCTCATCGCCCTGTCTCATCTGAGCTTCCTGTTACCCACAGAGAATTGTCCAGAGGATAGAAGCCACTCTGCATATACTCAAAATATACTCTGCATCGCGGAGTGGACGAGGCCAGTATGGCCGACTGGCTAGTGCGTTGCCTTGACTACAGAAGAGCTGGGTTCCGTCTCAGCTTTACCCTGGTGGGGTTGTGCCACTTTGCACCCGTTAACGATTTGCCTCCTTCTCTCCCCACCGCGCTTCACATTATTTTCAGGGCTCTCATTTTTCCTAGATATCGTATATTTTCTAGCAAATCGTGGACTGATGGTTCCTCCCTTCTGCTCAGGGCCTGGATCCAGTTGGAAGCCTTTCTAGCCTGGGTCAGTGAGAAAGAAAATGAGGAAAAGAAGAAGCTGGCAAGGAGACTTTTTGGCAGCTCTTGCTGGAGTCAACACTCCCCTGTAATTTACAGCTTTGCTCCTGGAGAGTTCAGATTTCTAGGCGACTGCCACCACCACCACCTTCCTGCCAAAGCGTCTTACAGCGGCACTTCAAATGCTCCAACCAGCGAGTCTTGTCAGCAGCCAGGTGCTGGGGTGGAAGATGGACACCACTTCACAAAGGGGTTGCTTGTGTTTTTTACTCTCGGCTGTGTAAAAGCTGTTCCGGTAGCTTCACCAGCAAAACCTGGGCACTCAGGACAGACCGTTTCCAGAAGAGCAGACAGTTGTGTGCGCTGCTCCTTGCCACAGGTAAGGATGGGCTATAAGAATTTAAATAATAAATAACGAGGGACGGGCAAATTCAGGCAGGGAGTCTGGGGCTAGAGCACTGAGCTGGGGCTCCGGAGACGTCGGCTGGCTTTGTCATAGATTCTCTTGGTTTCTTAGGGCTCTATCAATCGCCTACTCCCTCATGGGAGGCGTAGAAACTGCTGCAAGGGAGGGTTTCAGAAGTGGGAGGAACTACGGGTAGTGGGTGAAGGTAGGGTTGGGGGAGGCAAGTCCTCCAGTGCTGCCAACAACCCCGCTCCTTCTGCCCAGGCCCCGCCTCCCAGCATCACAGGGAAGGAGGAGGGCACAGGGCCCTGGCCTCCCCTGCCTCAGAGCACAGGAAGGGCGGGCACGAGGCAGCAATACTCCACCCCCAGGTTGCCTACAGTAGGCGTTCCAGGAGCGGAGTGTGGGTGGGGCCATCCCTGGCGGTTTGGGAAGGCAAAGCCTTCCCCCGTCTATGGTACCCTGAATCTGGCCCGTGCCCTCACTCACCAGCCAGAACGGAGGCCTCTTCCAGGAAGCATGTTGCCCCATATGAAGGTGTAAAGTAACTTCCTGCTGCTGCCTTTTCTCAGACCAAAGCGGTAACCGAGCACTTCCACACCACAATTTTGTCCCCGTCTGCTCTTGAGGCAGTGCAGTTACATGCTGCCCTTTTTTCAGGGCAGGCTTGTAATGTTACCCTCTAGCCCTTCATTTTTCTGGGCCTGGGCCTGTGCTCTCCGGTAGAAAACAGCGATTCTTTCGTCGGCCTTGTGTGGCATCGTTAGATGGCAAAATCGTCCTGCACCGGACTGTACAACACCCAGCACAATGGGGCCCGGGTTTGGGTTGGGGCTGACACTCAAAGAATAAGATGCTTTTTTAGAGACATCCCAAAGATCCCTCACTTTAATGTTCTTTAGTAGAGCTCTATGACAGCGTCCACAAGGCTGACGCTTTTTACGGCTTTAAAAGTCAATCCTGCTTGCTGAAGCTTGTAAGGCCAGATTTTGAAAGACATTTAAGACCCTCATTCCAAATGATTTCCAGGGGAGTTAGGCACCTAACTACCTGTACAAATCTGGCTTTTAGTACTGTGATTTGGAAAGGTTAAAACACCCAGGCTGAAACCGTGTCCCGGTTGAAGTCACTGGAAGTTTTTCCATGGGCTTCCATGGGGCCTGGATTTTACCACAACCCTCTCTGATCCAAGATTTTCTTCAGGGAACAGTAGCAGAGCAAACACTAATATTTCCACTGCCTTTGCAAAGAAAGCTTTACTTTCCAGTGGTTTCGGTGCATGCGTCAAATGGAAGGGAGAGCATCAATCTCTCCTGGGCTACGTCTACACTGGCCCCTTCTTCGGAAGAGGCATGCCGGAAAAGACGGAAAAGAGCGTCCAGACTGGCGCGATCCTCCGGAATAAAGCCCTTTTCCGGAGGATCTCTTATTCCTTTATTCCGGAGGATCGCGCCAGTCTGGATGCTCTTTTCTGGCTTTTCCCAAGCCGGAAAAAAAGCGGCGGACATGTTTATTTAAATCCCGCGGGGGATATTTAAATCCCCCGCGGATTTCCCTATTCCAAAGTTAGAAATTAGCATGCCTCTTCCGAAGAAGGGGCCAGTGTAGATGTAGCCCTGGTGTTTGGGGTGAATTTTCCCCTCCCAAAGAAGTTTTTCAATGGCTCTTTAATTGCAAGAGGGAGCCACCGGCCGTCCCGGATAAGAGTCCGTTTGCAAGTGTCAGCCTGAACGGGAATCTTTCAGCTTTCCGTCAGAGCAGGAGTAAAGCGGGCATGCTTAATTCCGACAGGAATGCTCCCATCACAGATCTGAGAGAGTTAATTTGGCCTGAATGCACTCTAGTAATGTTTATGTTTTAGATAAAGTGCCTACAATGTTGCAGCTTGCCCTTTTGACCCCTGTTTCCTCATTCATGTGCAGCGAGGAGAAAGTGATGCTTAATTCCAAAACTTTGCTTTTATTAGCTCCCAGAGTGGGGTAGGATTTCATCCTGGCCTTATCTCTGTTATAAACATCCTGTTACCATTCATATCGCGGCTATATCTTTGGGAAAATGATTAAATGCATTCCGCCGGCCGCAAGCTTCGTCCCTGGATGTATTCTGTTCGGTGCGGAGTGACACAGTGCATGTGGGAGTCTTCAAACAGCATGAGTCTGGCGGTTGTCTGCGGGAGGGGAGTTAGATTTGAAACTCTGTTGAGAAAACAGGGTTGGGGGAAGAGCTGCTCACGAAACAGCGGTTTCCGTGCAGGTAGGTGCGTGTCTCACAATTAAACACGGAGTCAGGTTCTGTGTCGCCTCCGCAGAGCTCAATGAGAAATTAAAAGGCTATTAACCAGGGGATAAAATGGTGTCCTTGGCCTCTGTTTGTCAGAGGCTGGAGAGAGATGGCAGGAGACAAATCGCTTGATCATTGTCTTCGGTCCACCCTGACGTTCCTTTCTACATGTGGCCCATTGACTTCAGGATTGTGATTCCTGATTTGCAAGCCCTAAACATGTGGCTATGGGCTTCGTAGTTCTATAGGTATTCGAAACAAGTATTCGTTTATCGAGCCATTGAGAAGACGAGCATTCTGACTGGAGGACAGAGGGGGGGAGGGGGAGGCTGCTGAAATATGAATGGTTTATATAAGCAAACACCGCCTTTTGCCTCCTACTTTGGACAGCCTTGTATCTCTGTGCCCTATACCCCTGAGGTGTCTTTCACTGGCAAGAAAGCTTTAGTGAGAACAATGTATTCTAGAATATAGTTGAGAGAGTGTATGTATTTGTCTGTCTAAGCACTCCTCCTAACCGGTAAGCGCTAGAACCACTGAATTTGGTAGGCAGCTTTCTCTTCTCATAGCTTAAAGCAAGGTCAGGGGTTGGTTGTGCCAGTGTAACCGTCTCAAGGCGGATTTGAACCTGGGACCTCTGAAGGGGAGTATAGGAGCTGCTACCCTCTGAGCTAAAAGCCAGCTGGCTCCCAGCCCGTGCTGTAGAGGTCTCTTGTTCTTAACTGTTGCTGTTGTCTAAGTACCACTTGCATTGCTCAGTAACCGCATGAGGTGTGTGGGTTACACCAGGACAATGGGATATGCCTGGAATGGGATTGTTTCTCATCAAACAGAAAGGGAGGGGAGTGACTGCAGGGACAGGGACCACAAGGGGGCAGTCACTGGCCAGCAGCATGGTCTCTGCTGCCTTGGCTTGCCCCGAGGAGCAGCTGCTGGTCGGCAAGTGCAGCCCCCACTGCCCTGAACACCCCTGGGGAGCTGCCAGCTGGGCTACGCGGCTCCAGCCATTGCATGGCTTCCAGCACCCTGCACTGACCCCCTCTGACTCCTCCTGAGCCCCCCCTCATCCCAGCTCCATGCCCTGACTCCTGGACCCCCACCACCTGCTCTAAGCCCCCCACCTCCTGCTCTGACTCCTACACCGCCCCACCCCTGCCAGAGCCCCTCCTCACTCTCCAATCCTAAATTCTACGCCCCCCACACACCTTCAGCCTCCTGCCCTGAGCCCATCACATCCCCAAGTCCCTGCTCTGACTCCTGCAACACCACCTCCCACACTCTCAGCCCCTTGCCCTGAAGGACCCGAAAATAATAGAGGATGAAGCTCGGTATAACGGGTGATTCTTTTCTTAACTAGGATGTTAGGTTTTCTATAACAACTATTGTCTGATTTTGTATTTCTAGGGCCGATAATTTACAAGACTAGAGAGCAGCTTGTTGTGTAGAACAAATGAAGGCCATGTACTTGAAAAGTGCCCTCTTGGATGTGTTTACAGTGATTGCCAATACACTGGATTTGTTGTGATGCCTTGATAGCCCCTTCTCCAACTATATTCATTGGCACCATCCCAGAATAGACTTCCATTTCATTATTGGCAGGGCTCCAGGCCAAGATTTTCAGAAATGTCTGCCAGTAGTTGAGCTGCTGAATGCATATTCAAGGCCCTGGAGAGAAACTTGCAAAGGTATAAGGAGCTGGTAGCTTCCTGGCTGCAGTTGACTTTTTGTAAAAATTGGGTGCCAAATTCTTCTTTCAGAGGGGTAGCCGTCACATGCATCTGACGAAGTGGGTCTTTGCCCACGAAAGCTTATGCTCCAACACTTCAGTTAGTCTATAAGGTGCCACAGGACTCCTCGCTGCTTTTGCAAATTCTTCTTTGCGCCTTTATTCAAAACCCTAAAATCTCTGCATTGTATAAATAGCCTGATTTTTCACTCACGCTGATACCCAGCAGTTTGCACTGGTTTGTAGTTGGAAGGGAGTGCCACGTTACTGGACAGTTATTACTGAGCCTTTCCATATGACAGGTATTCGTTTTAATTAGCGTTCGTTCAGAATCCAGTTCCCCTTCCAAACCTGTCGTAGCTCTGAGAGGCTGTGTCTAGACTGGCCAGTTTTTCCGGAAAATCAGCCACTTTCTGGAAAAACTTGCCAGCTATCTACACTGGCCGCTTGAATTTCTGCAAAAGCACTGACTTCCTACTGTAAGAAATCAGTGCTTTTTGCAGAAATACTATGCTGCTCCCGTTCGGGCAAAAGTCCCTTTTGCGCAAAAGGGCCAGTGTAGACAGCTGAGATTTGTTTTCTACAAAAAAGCCCCGATCGTGAAAATGGCGATCGGGGCTTTTTTGCGGAAAAGCGCGTCTAGATTGGCCACGGACGCTTTTCTGCAAAAAGTGCTTTTGCGGAAAAGCGTCCGTGCCAATCTAGACGCTCTGTTCCGAAAATGCTTTTAACGGAAAACTTTTCCGTTAAAAGCATTTCCAGAAAATCATGCCAGTCTAGACGTAGCCGGAGAGTCTGGATTCTGATCCAAGCTTTGCACCTTGGGCCTCTATGTTCTAGGGATCAAGTCCTGAATGAGTCGATGCAGGGAGACTTGGGCATGGAGAGAGAAATCCGCACCCCCACGCCGGGGACTTGCTGTAGAGGTGCCACATAGACATTGTTCCATCCCTGTGGTTGCAGTACAACTGCTTGGCAAGCCCAAGTATTTTGCACTGGAATTTGTTTGGAAAAAAAATCTTGAAACGGTAACAACATTTTTGGTTTTTTTGAGTTTCGGTTTCCAATCAACATGGTTTTTTTTTTTGTTTTAAAAACATTTACAAAAACCGATAAAACGTGGTACTGAGACCTGAACTGGAAAACCACAATGAGCCTACATCTAGACTACAAGCCTCTTTCGAAAGATTCTTTCCAAAAAGCTTCTTTCGAAAGAGAGCGTCTAGACAGCAACCAGTATTTTTGAAAAAGAGAGCCACTTTTTCGAAAGAGAGCACCCAGGCAGTCTGGATGCTCTCTTTTGAAAAAGCCCTGTTAGTGTTCAATAACGCCTGTTTTTGAAAGAGCACTTGTGAAAAAAGACGTTATTCCTCGTAAAACGAGGCTTTCCGTGGTTGAAAAAACGGCCACATTCTTTCAATTTAATTTCTAGACACAGGTGAAGTTTTTTTGAAAAAAGGCCACTTTTTTTTTAAAAAAAAACCTGTAGTCTAGACACACCCTGAGAGCTGACTTTTTTTTTACCTCAGATTTTCTACGAAAAATCTACGGTTTGGTTGAAAAACCATTTTTGGTCAAACTTTTTTCTGCTGAAAATGTGTTGACCTGTTTTAATATGGAGCCCATTAAATCATGTGAGGGCAGAAGCTGGGGGGCAGGTAGGGAGGGACATCAGGTAGCTTTCCCCTCTAGTCTCACATCCTCTTAGTTCTTTTCTTCTCTTCATACTCTGCTATGTGTGTGAGAGAGATTCAGCTCCACCCAGAGATTGTTCTACCTCTGCACCAGCCTTGAATTTCTGACCTCCCCACACCCATCCTCTGCTCTCAGAGCCATGCTGCACCGGTTACACCTGCAGATACCATGCCGTTTCTGCAGAAGAGGCAGGAATCATGATACTAGTAATTATTATTATTATTATTATTATTTTATTATTATTTCATTATTATGACCATAATGCCTCTGTCCCATAGGTCTGAGCACTGATCTATCCCTGTAGTTTGTACTATGAGTTTCTGTGGGCAGCCTAGAGAGGCCAAAGCCGAGCAAATAATCATGCTGTGGATGGCTTGCATTAAAATTGATTTTCATTAGCTGTCTCTCCTTTAAACAACCCGGCCCCTGATAATTGTGGAAAACAGTGCACCACTGCATACACTCCTACAGCATACCCCGCTGTAATTTACAACAGACTTGTGGGGAGGAAGAATGATGGCATGTTATTAAAAAAGCCAACAGCCCACTCTAGTATTCTGGGGTGCATGGAAAGTACTCTTGTTCCCACTGTCAGCTAATTTTTCGGCCCTCAGTTGGGATTTGCTCCCAACGCCAACAGCACTGGGTTGCGCATATATTGCAGGATTTTGCCTCCCAGTCCCATGAACTTTTTTCCAGTGTGTGGTTATCACAAGCTGAGCTTACAAGTAAATGTTTCCTGAAATGAATTGGTTTTTATTCCCACTCCCCTCCTCTGCTGTGGAGCAAATAGTCCCGTGTATTGATTGGCCAGCAATAAACAAAGGTTCAGAATAGCTGAGACATTCTTTTACAGCCGTGGTGACCTCCTCCTATCAGATTTGTTAGGTTTAACTACGTTTCCCTCAAACATTAGATCCCTTAATGTATATTTAAACAGATCTTGGCCTCTTGGGAACATTTTCTACTGACCTTTGTGTTAACCCAGTGCATTCTGCAGTGTAAACACAATACCCCGAGTCCTATGTGAATTATGAACCAATTAGAGAATGTAGATGTGATTTTGTCCCTTTGAAGCCAATGAGAGTTTGGCTATTGACTTGCATAAAAGCCAAATCAGGCCCCTGATATGATACATGCAGAATACATCCTTCCATTTCAAAATTCAGTCCACTTCCATTATGGAGATAGGTTAGTTTCAAGATGCATCAAGATTCCACCATACTAGGACTCTTTAACAATGATTGCGTTAAAGAGGTGAACAAGGTGAAAATTAGACAGGGGTCTACAATGGTCAGTAAAAATTATTAGGAACATAGAAAGATCATCATATAATAAGACTGTGAGTCTTCCATTCAGTGAGGAGAGGAGGGGATAGGAAAGATATAGACAACACAATGAAAAGAGCGGCAAGATGTTTTTGGTTCTGATCTGCTTTAATTCTTTCATTGGCATGTGACCTTTTTCTTGAAGAAAAACAATTGAAGAGTTTTCTTTTCTCTTGATTTTTTTCTGTTTAAAAACTGAAGGGGGAAAGTCTATTTTCAGTTTT